CGGGCCCTGTGGGAGGGCCTGGTAGTCAGCCCTGAGCGCCCAGCAGGCTGCTGGAGGGGCATGAGGTGGGTTAGGGCTCACCCCGTGGTGCTCAGGATCACTCTTGACAGGCTCCAGAGACCCTGTGTGGTGCTGGCTTTCAACAGGGTCAGTCCTGTGCAAGATAAGCACCGTCCAGGCTGTCTCTGGCCCCAGAGCTTATGGTTTGGACCTTTTGTTTGTTTTGGTTTGGGGGCCACACCTGGCAGTGCTCAGGGCTTGCTCCTGACTCCGCACTCAGGAATTACTCCTGGAGGGCTCGGGGACCATATGGGGTTTCGGGGATTGGACCCAGGTCAGCTGCGTGTAAGACAAGCGCCCTCCTCGCTGTACTGTTATCTCTCCAACTCCTGATGAACGTTTTGAACGACTCCTGCCCTGCAGAGCGACCACCTCCTTAGAGCCGCAGAAGCCCTCGAGGGGAAGCTCAGGCACGTTGCTTTTGGGTTTTTTGGTTGTTGTTGAGGCCAAACCTGGTCATTCCTCCATGCTTATTCCTGTCTCTGTGCTCATGGATCACTCGAGCCAGACCTAGGGGACCCTGTGGGATGCTGGGTTGGTCATATGCAAAACCTTACCCTTGTCCTTTCTCCAACCCCAACCCATGGATACAGTATGTTTCTTTTTGGTTCAGGGTCACTCCCAGAGGTGCTGGGGACTGTGAGGGCCTGGAGATCAGACACGGGCCTCCGACGTGCAGGCCCTGCTCTCAGCTCCTTGAGTTCTTTCCTTGGCCCTGATTTGTCTTTTGTTTTTCACTGTCTAGGGCCTGCACCTGGCCATGCTGGCACCCAGAACACTGCCTGCTGTGCTGGGGATTGAGCCCAAGACCTCAGGTGTGATACAGTATGGGCTGTAAATGTACAAGGCCCAGAGAGGTTGAGGACCTCCCTCAGGGCCACACAGCCTGCTGGGGCTGTGGGGACTGACTGGACTCATGGCCTTTCTTCCCTCGGGTTCCTGTCGTCAAGGTTGCTGCTGAGTGCCTGTGGGCACATACTCACCCTCGTAGATGGCAGCCAAGGCATATCCCAGCACGAAGAGTCGGCCCTCCTTGCCCAGCATCTTGGGGACGAGCAGGAGAGTGGCACAGCGGATGTGGGGCGAGGTCCCCCAGCCCAGGGCCCCCAGGCCTGCGGAGAGGCCAGAGGAGTCCACTGAGAAAACTGCCCCAGCCCCAGCGCTTCCTCCACTGTTCCCTTCTCCTTTTATTCGTGTGTTTTCTTTTTTTTTTTTTTTTTTGCCACACCTGATGGTGCCCAGGGGTTACTCCTGGCTCTGTGCTCAGGAATCATTCCTGACAGGCTCAGGGTGGGATGCCGGGGATCTAACCCAGGTTGGCTGCATGCAAGGCAAGTGCCCTACCTGCTGTACTATCATTCAGGCCCCTACAACTCCCTTCTCAAACCACCATCACACGGCCCAGGTTTCTGCTTACACCGACTCTGCTCCCTGCCACTCAATCATTCATTTATTCTCAGTGAGAGTCCCGCTCTCCCACTCTGTCAACTGTGCACCCAGTAAAGCTACCAGGGCTGGCTCTGTACTGTGTGTGTGTGTGTGTGTGTGTGTGTGTGTGTGTGTGTGTGTGTTTGCGATGGGTGGACACACAAGAGGAACTGCAGGGGCAGAGAGAGCAAGAGGAAAATTCTGGAACCAGACATGGTACTCAGAGTAGCTGGAAGAGAGTTCCGAGCCCCCTGCATATTCCCCAGCACCTCTGTGGGAGCTCCTCCAATCTTGGTCCCCAATTCCAGCCCTTCATCTCTTCCTCCTGGAATGTTCTAGCAGTTTCCCATGTGGTCTCGGCCAGGAGACAGTGCGCTCCTGGAAGCCCATAATCCAGGGAGACAGACAGCCGAGTAAACAAATGACTGCAGCCCAGTGCGTCTGTGGGAGCCGCCGGGAGCGGGGATTTCTGCAGGGTGGGTGGGGTAGGGAGAACCGGACAAAGGACGTGATGTATCAGCTGGGCCCTCGGGATGACTAAGTGTTGTCAGGAGCGCAGACAGCTCTCGGGGCCAACCCACCGCAGCAGCTGCTCAGGCAGCCCAGAAGGTTCCAGGGGTCTCCCAGCGATCCCCAAAGCCTCCCCTCCAGCTCCACACCAGTCCCCAGCACCCCGTGGCACCTAACAGCCCCCCTGTCTTCTGCCGTGTGGCCCAGGCTTCAGTTCTCACCAGGCAGCCTGAGCAATCACGTGAAAACATCCACAGAATCATAAGTCCTGCTTGGGCCACACATGGACAAAAAGCCCAGCATCCCACGACGGGCTCTGCAGACCGTGCTGCCGGGGATCCGGCTCTCCCAGGACCCCATGCATCCAGGGCTGTGGCCAAGCTCCCCCTCATCTGGAGCTTCCCCGAAGTGCGCCTGGCCAGCCGTGCCCTCCACCCACTCTGCTTCACCTGGTCCTGCAGGTTTGCAGCAAACCCTCCTGGTGCCACCCAGCAGTCTCTCTGGCCCTGCTTCCAGTTGCTCTAACACTTGGCTTTTGTTCAAGGGCTCATGCCTGTCCCTGCCCTGGCCCCTGGGGGAGACACGGCTGGGTCTCACCCAGTCCTGCCACAACAGGACATTCAAAGGGACTTTTGTGGCCTAGACTTTTTGGCTAAAGATTCCAGCTGTGGGGGTGATAGTTCACAAAGAGTTGCCTCATGCTCTTTCTTTGTTTTTGTAAGGATGGGCGCTTGGGGGTCACAGAGAGGGGACAGAGGGGAAGGTGACTGCTGTGCATGCAGCCAGCCCAGGTTCGATCCCTGGCACCTCTGAGGGTCTCCCAAGTTCTGCCAGGAGTCAGCTCTGAGCACTGCTGGATATGGCCCCAAACCCAAAACCTGGGGCCAGAGCAATAGTCCAGCAGGGAGGGAACTTGCTTTGCATATGGCTGCCCTGGGTTCGATCCCATATGGTCCCCCTGAGCCCTGCCAGTAGTAATTCCTAAGTGCAGAGCCAGGAATAAGCCCTGAGCATCGCTGGGTGTGGTCCCAAGACAAAAGAAACTAGCAAACAAAAGTGATAACTACCACTTCGCTGGAGCGATAGTACAGCGGGTAGGGCATTTGCCTTGGACGTGGCTGACCCGTGTTCAATTCTCAGCATCCCATATGGTCCCCCGAGCACCTCCAGGAGTAATTCCTGGTGCAGAGCCTAAACATCGCTGGGTGTGACCCCAAAAAGCAAAGAAACAAAACAAAACAAAACAAAAACACAACGACTGAGAGTTGGGGCTTCAAAAGAAAATAGCCAGAAAGTGGCAACAGAGAGGCAGGAACCTGGCAGACCCAGGTTCAATCTCAGGCACTGCTGGGTATACCCCCCACGCCCAGAAAAAGGCAAAGATACCAAAGGAATCTGGCTGTTCTTGTGCTGGACTCCAGAATGACTTAGAACCATAGTACCTGGAAGCGTTTCAAGGGTGAGAAGCAGCCCTCTCTGTGATCGAACACTTGTAAGAGGATATTCTGTTCTTGCTGCCCCAACGCCTCCTGACACAATATGCCAGTTCAAATGTCACCTTCTCCAGGAAGCCCTCTCTCACTTCTTCACCTAAGGTCATTCTCAGCCTGTCTCACAACCCGTGGCTGACATTTTTTTCATACTACACATCAGCATTGCGAATGCCATCTATTTCTCCTTCAGATATTCTGGCTCTCCACTAGAGTGTCAATTCCCAAAGAACGGGTGCTGGTCAGACATCATCACTGCCCAGGCGTCCACGGCTGATGCCTAGTGAATGACTGATCAAAGGAACCCGTGAATGAACAAATGAAGGCTGGCTTGGGCGGCACCCTGCAGTGTTAAGGGCTGCTCCTATCAGTGCTCGAGGATCCTATGTGGCGCCAGGGATCAAACCATGCTGTATGCAAGGTCACAGTGCCTTAAGCCCTGTCCTGTCTCTGCCCACATCCTGTCCTGTCCCCCCGAGACAGATTATCAGGAGGAGCCACAGGAGAGGAGGGCTCCTGGGGGCACTGAGGCCTGCACTGGGTCTCGAGGTGCACTCAGTCTGCAGAGACCCCTGGTGATGAGGACTGGCTTCTCCTCCTGCATCTCCCCTCATGGTGGCAGAGGCCCCAAGGGACCCTTGAGGACCGAGGGGCGGGCTCCACGCATGGGGTTGCCGCCAGCACTGACCTGCAGCACCATACAAGGCTGCCATCTTCTGCTCCTCGTGGATGTTCATGGGGTTTACCAGGAGCTGAAAGAGACCTGGGGACACAGGGTCCTGCAAAAGGCTCAAGACGGGCCCCCACCCGGCCCGACCCGGCCCCCACACACTCACCTAGGGTCAGGAGCCCCCCAGTGCCTGCCCCCAGCAGGACCGCAGTGAAGGGAAATTGGCCGGGTTGGCGCTCCAGGAAGCGGTTCCAGGGGGTGGGCAGCCCCCAGCGCAGAAGCCTCTGCACCGCTGCAGGGTGAAGCGTGCACGGCTGAGCCGGGCCAGCTCCGCAGGGTCGGGGTGGACAAGTGAACAGGTCAGGTGCAGGAAGCTGGGAATCCCCAATGGGGGTGGGGCGCCCAGAGAAGGGGAAAGGCTCAGATGGGTGAGTGTGTGGACCTCAGGGTTCCTGGTCATCTGAGAGGTATGGCGGGGGGGGGGGGGGGAGGGGGGCGCCAGGGGGAGGCGCTGGGCTGCTGCCCACTCACTGGTGCGCGCCAGCTTCCTTTGAGGTCTTTTTGCTCCACCCTGAAGTTCTGTGTCCATGAGTCTGGGGGCCCAGGTGTCAGCCCGGAAGGTTCCTCCGGCACACTCAGGTTCTGCAGCTCCCCTCTCCCACGGCCTGGCTGAGAGGGACACGAAGAAGGAAATAGACCCCGCCTGTCCCTCCTGGGACTTGCGGAACCAGGTACGGAATTCTGGGGCAGCCACAGTGAGGAACCTTAGAATTCGGCGAGAGCCACAGAACCTGAGGTTCCTCCTAGAGACGAGAACATTGAGGCTCGCTGCCGAGTCCAGCATGAAGGCCAGCTCGCGGCCCAGTGGGGCCCAGGAGCCCAGCATGGCGCGGGCGACCGTCCGGAGCGTGGGGGGCTTCGCCTTTGGCCTGGCACTGGCCACGGCCTATGGGATCCTGGAGTTGGTGGTGGAAGGGCGCAGCCCCTGGGGGTGCCTGGTGGGCACCTTCACCTTGGCGGCCTTCCTCGGCTTGGGCATGGGCTTCTCGCGCCAGGTCCGCGTCACTGTCCTTCTGGTGCTTCCCCAGGCCTTCTCGAGTGAGTGGGGGAGGGATGAGGGAGAGACAGGGCGGTGGTGGGGGGTAGGGGGGGTAGTGGCAGGGCACACCTGGCAGTGCTCAGGGCTCACTCCTGAGCTTGGGGCCCAATGCAATGCTGGGGCTTGCTTGTTTGTTTTTTTTATTCCTTTTGGGTCACACCCAGCTAGGCTCAGGGGTTACACCTGGCTGTGCACTCAGGAATGACTCCTGGCGGTGCTCGGGGGAGCGTACGGGATACCGGGGATTGAACCCAGGTCAGCTGCGTGTAGGGCAAACACCCTACCCATTGTGCTATCACTCCAGCCTCTCGTGCTGGGGCTTGAATCCAGATCGGCTCCATGCAAGGCAGTCGTCTTCCCTGCTGGACCATTCCCCGGCGGCCCCAGAATGTTCGAAAGTGTTCTGTGGGGACTGGGCCCTGGCTCTGAGGATGCTGTCCCCCGCAGAGCAGGGCCGGACGCTGCTCCTGGTGGCTGCCTTTGGGCTGGTGCTGCAGGGCCCTTGTACCAACACCCTGCGCAACTTCACCCGGGCCAGCGAGGCTGTGGGCTGTGGGGCAGAGCTGGCCCTGAACCAGACAGCGGAAATACTGCAGCGGGCACGGCAGCCCCTCGTCAGTAAGAGCCGCACTCTGCTCCCCCCACCCCCTTTCCCCTGGCAACAGACCCATCCGAAGCACCGGTCACAGGCGTGCAGCCCTGTCCCTGGTCCTCTGTCCCTGCAGACACTGCCCATGCTGGGTGACCACCCCCCTGCCCCAGAGCCCCGGGGGGTATCCCGAGAGCCATCCCTGTAGTGCTGCTACCCACTGCACCTCAGGTGCCCTGAGCAAGATCAAAGCCATCGTGATAAAGGCCAAGGAAGTGGCTGACAGGGTGCGCAAGTTCTTCCGCGCCATCATGGACAACGTCAAGCACGTAGGTCAGTGCGGCTGCACGTTTGGGGTTCCTCGGGGAGGGGTATTACCCCCTACCCCCCCAGTCTCTTTGCCCTGATCCCTGCCCAGGACTCCCAGGCCCCATCCGGGTGCTGAGTGGCTGTCCCTAAAGCTGCCCCTCAGGACTGGCAACAGGCCCCCAAAGCTCAGGCACTGTCCCCTGCAGAGAGACTGAGGTTCCCTGCCTGGCCCCAGCCCTGCCTCCCGTCCCAGCCAGGACGCTGCGGAACGTGTGGTTCTGGCTCCTGCACATCGGGGACGTGTGCAACGCAGAGCTGGGCAACCCCTACACGAAGTGCGCGCACGTCTTCGACGACGCCAAGGCCCACTGCATGCAGCTCATCCCCCACGCCTACTACCTGTGCTACGTGCTCATGCCCTTCAAGCTGGTGCTGTGTGGGCTGGCCAGCGGTGAGGGCGCTGGGAATTGCGCCAGCTGGGCAAAGGCAGGGGTCAGTGCAGGGAGGATCTAGGGCTGCTGGGACCAGCATGGAGGGACAATGAAAAGGGGACTCATGGTGGGCAGAGCGAGAGTACAGAGGGTAGGCCCTTGCCTTGCACGCAGCTGACCCAGGTTCGATCCCTGACACCCCCATCTGGTCTCCTGAGACCCGCCAAGAGTGATCCCTGAGCAGAGAGACAGGAGTAAGTCCTGAGCACTGGTGGGTACGGCCCCAAGATAAGAGAGAGAGAGAGACAGAGACAGAGACAGAGACAGGAGAGGAAGGAAGGAAGGAAGGAAGGAAGGAAGGAAGGAAGGAGGGAGGAATGAAAGAAGGAGGGAGGGAGGAATGAAAGAAGGAGGATAGAGGGAGGGAGGGAGGGAAAAAAGGAAGGGTACTAATGTGGTGTGGGGGTGGTGATACGGAAAAATCAAAAGGGGTAGAGGGGGACCTCAGAGGTCAGAGGGGGGGAAGGCGCTTGCATGCCTTGCATGTGACTGACCAGGATTTAATCCTTGTCACTGCAAAGGGCCTCTGAGCCCGGTCAGGAGTGATCCCTGAGCACAGAGCCAGGATAAGCCCTGAGCATGTCAGGTGTGAGCCACAAAGCAAAACAAACAAAAGACATTGACTCCCTGGTCCACCTGGAGGAAAAGCAGAGGGCAGGAGTGTGGGGGCAGGCGGCGCCCAGGCCCTGCTGACCCGAGGCTGTCTCAGTGGTCCAGGTGTTCTGTGTCATCCCTCAGTACATCCAGCCCTTCCTGCGCCAGACCATCGGCACCCGTGAGTGGCCCCTGCTGTCCTGGGCAGGCGCGGCACCTGCAAGAGGGGTCCCCCGCACCCGCTAGACCCAGGCCAGGCAGGGGGACTCCCAGAACAGAGGACACAGGAGCAGGGAAGGACCCCAGAGGTGGTCCTGGCCCATGTCTGTGCTGGACAGGTCAGAAGAAAGCCAATTAGGGTTGGAAAGATGGTGCAGCGGGCATGACATAGCCTGGGCTGGAGCCCCAGCAAGGCATGGGGTGGCTCAGCCCGGCCGGGAGTGATCCCTGAATGCTGACTACAGATCAAAAGACAAAACCAGGGAACTGGAAGAACAGTGGGGTGGAGGCGCCTTGGCCAGCCCTCAGAGCAGGAACCCCGAGGGAGGTGGGGGGTGTTGGTGAGGTCGCCTCTGCGGCGCCTCCAGGTCCCGGGCTCCCCACCCCATCCCCTTCCCGGCTCACCACTACCCGGTTCGCTGCTGCCCAGCGGTGATCAAGCTCATTAACCGGGTGCGGCGGGAGTTCGAGTTCAACGTGACCGCCACGCACTACTTCTCCGTGAACCTCAACGCCTCGCGGAGCCTGTCGCAGGTGGCGCTGGACCTGCACGAGGCGGTGGGCCTGAAGGTGTACCGCGTGCGCGAGGTGCTGGCGCTCATGGGGTACAGCACCCCGCTGCTGCTCATACTGCTCTACCTCCAGTGAGCGGCAGGGGGCGCCGGCGGGAGGGGCGCGCTTGTGGGGCTCTGCGCGCCCTGAGGCTCGCCCCTCGCACGCAGAGCCCTGTTCTACCGGTACCGGTATCTGAACTGGGACCATTTCGACAACATCTACATCACCGACCGCTTCCTGCGCATGGAGGCCCTGCGCGCCAGGGCCGGGCTGCCCACCGTGCTGCCCCTCAGCGCCCAGGAGTCGAAGCATTACATTCGGCCGGGTGAGGGGGCCCTGACCCTGATCCCCAACCCAGGCCACAGGGATGCGGGGGTGGGGGGGTGCCCAGACGGCAGACAGGATAGGGAAGTGTGCTCAAGGCCACAGCACGGGCAGTCTTGGCTGTTGCTGGGCCCTCTCTTGAAGAGAGACCCTGCCTGCAGAGCCCCTTCTCAGAGGGAGGTGGGAGATTGGACGCCTCCTAGCCATGTCCCCACCCCACCCCCAGGCTCCATCATCCTGTCCAGGTGGGAACAGCTGCTCTACCTCCTGTCCATGCTCCGCCTCATCCGCCACATCTTCCTGGTGCTGCTGCTGGTCTTCCTGGACTACGCTGTCTTCTGGGTGCTGGACCTGGCCCGGTACCACCTGCAAGGAGAGATCGTGGCCCGCAGTGAGTCCCCATACCTCTCCTTGCTCCTGACTCTCACCTGACTCCCAGCCCCTGATGGAGCTTTCTTCTGATGGTGCTCAGGGCCGACAGCACTCAGGGATCACTCCTGGAGGTGCTCAGGGGACCCTGTGGGACGTTGGGTTGGTCACATGCAAGGTAAACAAACACCCTACCTACTAGGCTATCACTCCAGTCCTGAGTATCCCTGATTCTTTTTTGTTGTTGTTTTTGGGTCACACCCAGTGATGCTCAGGAGTGACTCCTGGCTCTGCACTCAGGAATCACTCCTGGTGATGCTCAGGAGACCATATGGGATGCCGGGGATTGAACCCAGGTCTGCCATGTGCAAGGCAAGTGCCGTCCCCACTAGACTGTCACTCCAGCACTGAGGGTCCCCCATTTTTCACCTGCCTGGTCCCCCTGATAATGCAGTGCCCAGTTCCGTGTTGTGCTTGAGAGAAAGTAAAGTGGATGGGCACTTACCTGGCATGCAGCTGACATGGGTTCAATCCCTAGCGCTTCCCCTGAGCACTCCTGGGTATGTCCGCAAAAGAGAAACACAAGGTTGTACCCTGACAAGAGTAGTTGAAGTCACAGGTTCTAGAGGCCGACTGGCCAGATGCAAGTCCAGCTCTGGGCTCTTCTCTAGCTCTTCTCGACCTCGAAGTGCTTAAGTTTCCACATCCAAGCCATGGGGTCATGATGGCACCCACCGGGCGGAACACAACTCAAAGGGCTGGGCCTGTGCTTTGGATGCGGGAGCCTTGACTTGGAGTCCCTGAGCACTGTGCTAGGTGAGGCCTCTGAGCACTGTTGGGTGTGACCCAAAAACAGAAAACAGAAAAGGGGAAAAGAGTGTAAACAAGGAGCTGGAGAGATCGTTCAGGGCTAAGTCACTTGCCCTGCTTGTGGCTGACCCAGGTTCCAACACAGCACCACATAGGTTTCCTGAGCACAGCCGGGAGTGACCCCTGGGCCAGAGGGGTCACAGAGCCAGGAGTCGATTTGCCACACTGCCCCCACCCCGCCAAACAAAAAAAAGAGAGAGAAAGCAAAAATGAAAGTGGATGAGAAAGCATTAAGTCCAGTGCCTGCTACCTGGTCAGGACACAGAAAACACTGTTTAGTAAGTGTTCTAAGGGCTTCATCAGGCAGGGCACTGGCTCATGGGCCAAAGGTCTGGGTCATTTCAGAGCCCGTGGCCCAGGCAGAACAGGCATCAGTGCCAGGCAGCTGCCCGTGGAGCAGTCCCAGGAGCCAGGGCAGATGTTAGGCTCCAGGGTACCAGGAGCGGCTCTGGGGTATCCGAGGTCCCGGGAGCAGTGATGCAGAGGTGCTACCCGCCCACTCCCCTTCCTGCTCAGGAAGACACGGCCCCCCTGACTGGCTGAAGGGCCCCCCAGAGTGTCCCCGTCCTGTGCAGGCCCCGTGCTGGTCTCCATAACAGTGAAAGGTGAAGGCTACACGGGAACCATCTTCCGGGACCTGGTGTCGGCCTTCGAGGTCCTGCAGCAAGGGAATGTCAGTGTCCTGTCTCACCGCTGCCTCCTGCGGCCCTCGGAGCCCGACCCCACCAGTTACATAGCTATCGGTATTAGCACCTTCTGGGGGAGAGGGCAGTAGGGCGGGGCTGAAGCTGGTGCCTGTGCCCACCAGCTTCCTGCTGTGCCCAGGTGCCATGTACGGCCTGTGCTTCTTCGTCACCCTGTTTGGCAGCTACATCAGCCGGCTGCAGCGGCTCATCTGCGCGTCCTACTACCCCTCCAGGGAGCAGGTGAGGCCCTGGGCCTCCCACCCCAGCTGCTCCCCTCCTGGCTCGTGGCCTTATTGTGGGGGATCTTAACACCCTCCAGCGCCCCCAGCCTCTCCTCTCTGCAGGAACCCCCAACCAAATGCCCTACTGGGAGGTCTGCCACTCCAGAAGGCGCTGGGAGAAATGATGCCTCTTGGGGGTGGGAGCGGGAGAAGCAGCCTTGATGCTGCTGCCCCGGGGTCCATCTCTGGCAGCCTCTGTGGCCCCACCAGCCAGGAGTCATCCCGGAGGGTAGAGCTAGGAATCAGCGCTCAGCACTACCAGGTGTGATGCCAAGGGGGTAAATAAAAAGAGAGGAGGAAATGATGCCACTTGAGACAAGCAAGGCTTCCTGGGGCAGAGTTTGACTCCAGCTTTGGTTAAAACTTTGGTGGAAGGGGCTGGAGCGATAGCACAGTGGATAGTGCGTTTACCTTTCACATGGCCTGGCCAACCCGGGTTCGATTCCCGGCATCCCATATTGTCCCCCAAGCACCGCCAGGAGTAATTCTCGAGTGCAGAGCCAAGAGTAACCCCTGTGCATTGCCAGGTGTGACACAAAAAGAAAAACAAAAAAAAAACTTTGGCGGAAGCCGGAGAGATAGTACAGCGGGTAGATAGCTTGCCCTGCACACGGCCATCCAGGGTTCAAATCACCAGCACAACCCAGGGGCCCCTGAGCCCTGCTGGGGTGATTCCTGAGCGCAGAGTCAGGTGTGCTCCCCACAAAAAAAAAAAACAAGACTTCAGTGGCCAGGTAGGTCTTGGGGGGTGCGTGGAAGCTGGGCCCTTAGTCCTTGCTCACAAATCATCTGCCCAGTCCTGATTGTTCGTCCATTCCTCTGCTGTCCAGACACTTTCTGGAGCTCAGACCTCCAGGCAGCCAGACGGGCTCTCCCCAAGACGCTCGGTTTCCAGTGCAGCAGGGGAGTGGTGGTGGTGGGGGGGAAGCGTGGGAAGCGGGGGGAGGGGGGGCAGGGGAAGCAGGCGGGGGGCGGGGGGCGGTCCAGGAAACCCAGAGAAGGAGCCTGCAGAGGTGCCCTCCCAGGGAGGGGCGTGGGAGGGACCCAGAGGCACTTAGGGGAGGAGAGGCAGGGAGTAGGGAGAAGGGAGGGGGTCCGGGAGAGAGGTGGCAGGAGCGAGTGGTCGCCCCCATCTGTCCCCTAGGAGAGAATCTCTTACCTCTACAACATGGTTCTGAGTCGCAGGCACACCCTGTCAGCGGCCCTGCACCGAACAGTGCTGCGGCGGGCAGCTGACCAGGGTTATGCGAGTGTCCTCCAGGTGCTGGCCCAGAGGTGAGCCCGGGAAGACAAAGCCTCATATGCCACTGACCAGGATTCGATCCCTGGCCCGCCTAGCGTTCCTGAGCCCCACCAGAGTGATCCCTGAGTGCAGTCAGGAGTCAGCTAAGGGAGTCCTCCAAAACCAAAGACACTTTTATAAGGGCTGGAGAGAGAGAGTATAGCAGAGAGGCACTTGCCTTGCCCGTGTTCGACCTGGGTTTGATTCTTGCCACTACATATGGTCTTCTGAGCCCACCAGGAATGATCCCTGAGTGTAGAGCCAGGAGTAAACCTTGAGCACAGCTGACAACCATTGTGGCAACCAAATTAAAAAAAAAAAAAAACCTCGAGTAAGCTATAAATGGGATGTTTGCTGTGCTACAAAAACCTAATCTGGTGGCCCACCTTGCAAGTTGATGACAACTTGAGAAACTTGGTCCCTAGAGCATCACTGGGTATGACCCCCCCCAAAAAAAAAAACAAGGAAGAAGAGGTTGAGGCCAGTATAGACCCCCTCAATCCACCCAAAGTGGGGGAGGCTGGGCTGGAGAAAAAGGTGTTGCTCTCTCCGTGCTGTTGGGAGGGAGATTTGGGGTTAGAATTGGGGGCTGAGGGGGTGCCAGGGAGATAGTACAGCAGGTAGGGTGCATGCCTTGGACACAGCTGACCCAGGTCCATCCCAGCATCCCATATGGTCCCCCAGGTTATTTTTGAGTGCAGAGCCAGGAGTAACTCCTGGGCATTGCCAGGTGTGGCCCCCCACAAAGGAAAGAGAGGACTGTGGGGTGAGGCGTGGAGGGTGGAGGAGGGTGGGTTGTCCCATGAGGGCTGGTGCCAGGCTGCAAAGGTCTCCAGACCGGGAGGGTGGGGCTGGGTCGTGCAGGGTGGGGTGGGGTGGGGTGTGTCGGGGTTCGCCCTGCTGAGTTCTGGGACTCTTGGCTCCGGCTCCTCAGGTGCTTCTACCTTGTCCCATTTCTGAGTCACTTCTGGCTGCCCAAATCCTACTGCCTGGGGTGTGGACAGACCCAGGAACAGGTGGACACCGAGAGCTTGGTGCCCTGTAGCACCCCAGGCTGCAAAGGTGAGGTGATCCCCATGGGGAGTCACCACCCTCCCACCCCCACCCCCAATCCCACCCCCTATCAGGGACCTGGCACGGTGGCCCTGCCTGCCTGGGCTTCTCCCTTCTTCCCCTCCTCAGGGACAGGGGCCTGCTGGAGGCCCATCCTCACCGATCCCCACTCTGGCTGGAAGGTGGGAACGGGGAGGGGGATGGAGGTTAAGGGCTGTGTGGGGGCCCCTTCGCCCGCCCAGGTCTCTTCTGCCCCACCTGCTTCCGACTCCTGGACAACACTTGCCCAGTATGCTCTGCACCCCTCTCCTACCAGGGCACAGTGGACCTGGAGGGGTGAGTCTTGGCGGGGCAAGAGGGGGCAGTGGGCACAGTGGTCTGCGGCCCCTGCCCGACTGAGGTGCAGGAATTTTCCAGGGACTCCAGTGATGAGGAGGGACTGGAGCTCCAGCCAGCCGCCACCTGGAGGAAGAACCCTGAGCAGGAGTGGCTGCTGGGAGCAGGGGACCCCATGCTGGCCTCCAGCTCGGAGTCCAGGTGAGCTGGCACGGGGGGTGGGGGTGGGGGGGGCTGATGAAGGAGACACTGCCGCCAGGACTGAGGGGCATGCCCCAGGACGGGGGTGGAGAGGGTCAGAGGTAGGGTGCTGAATGGCCAGCTGAGATGGGTAGGGGCTGGTCAGAGGCAAGGGGGGAGAGCTGGGGTTGGGGGCAAGCTGGAGGCAGGGGCAGAGGAGCATTCCAGGGGGAGGCCGTTGAGTGTGGAGAATGCGAGACATTCAGAGGGGAGGCAGAGGGCGGAGAATGTGGGAGATAAGGTGGGAAGGGGGTGGGGGAGATGGGCAGGGCTCAGGCAGACTGGCCTTTGAGGACCAGCCTGAGGCAGCTTACCCAAGGCCTGGAGCTCTGTGCTCCGAGGCTGGGCCCCAGCCGGGAGCTTTAGCAAGAGGCCCTGGGGCAGGCAGCCTAGGGGGGGACAGCAGGCATCTGAGGCGCTTGGGTGTAGGAGAGTTCCAGAGTGGCTGCGGAGGGGGTGGGGGGAAGGGAGGCCTTTCCCTGGCTTTCTCCTGGGCACTGGTGGCGTGAGGGCTCTGAGGCGTGACAGACAGAGAAGGCTCAGACACAGAAAAAGGGGGAGACGTGGCTTCTCACAGCAACACAGAAATTTAAAATTTTTTTTTTTTTTTTTTGCAAACAGAACTTCTCTAGTTTAAAAAAGGAAGCTGGGGAAGGGAGGGTTTGTCAAGAAGGAGTGAGCTGCGCAGAGCTGCAGAGTTGGGGGGAATCTCCCCCAGCCTGTGGGCAGTGCCAGCCTATGTGGCAGGGGCAGGTGGGGCCCTCTGGGTCCGGGGCAGGGTCGTCGCTGACCTTGGGCAGGCTCAGGGGAGCAGTCAGAGCCCTCCAGCCCTTGGCCTCGCTTTCTCTGGGGGGGACGCAGGATTTGGGGGGTGGGCGCCAGGCGTTGGGATACCTGCCTTGGGGGTGAGCCCAGAAGCCACGAGCAGAGGCAGGCCTAGAACCCCACTGGGGTGGAAACTCAGGTGGTCAGGGATGAGGAGGAGAGAACGGGGGCATCCTATGGGGGTAACTGGCCTTGGGGAAAAGGGTGCGAGGTGCAGACTGGGGCCAGTGTCCAGGAAGGAGGGGCACAGGGGATGGATCCCCGCCAGGGCAGGCATCAAGGGTAAGTCTAGTGGGTGTGTGAGTGTGAGTAGAGGGGAAGGTCACAGGGTCAAGGGGAGGCACCCATCACAGCATGTAGGGGGCTGGCTGAGGGGTGGGGAGAAAACTCAAGTGCAGGGCTGGGGATGGCAGTCAGGGAGCTTGGAAAAACAAAGGCCGCCTGCTCCTGAGAGCTGGGCTGGGCCAGGTGGAGAGTCGTGCTGGGCAGGGAGGGGGTGAGGCACCTGGGTTGAGGGCCAGAGGGAGGCACTTGCCTTATACACGGCTGACCCTGGTTTGATCCCAGGCACCATATAGGGTCCCAGGAATGATTCCTGAGCACAGAGCCAAGAATAAGTTCTGAGCACTGCCAGATGTGGCCCGAAAAGAAAAAAAAGAAAGAAAGAAAAAGGCAAAGCTGGGTGGCCAACGAGGACTGCGTGGACCTTGTGCAGGGTCACACTGGGCACTGTTTGGCAGCGACCCCGGGGTCTGTGCTCGGGGGTTGCTCCCGTGGTGCTGCAGGAGCAAACCCAGGTCAGGGTCATGTGCAAGGCGAGCGCCGCGATCCCTGGACTGTCCCCCGGCAACACTGAGGTCATGCCAGCCTCTGTCCTTGCGAACCCCGTAACCTCGGGCAAGTCATAGCTCCCTGGGGTCTTAGCGTCAGCCTCACTCAGGGCGGCTGGAGCTGCGTGTGTGCGCGCCCGCGGGTGTTTGTGTGCGGGTGCGTGTGTGTTTGTCTACGGGTGCGTGTGCGTGTGCATGTGCGTGAACGCCCTCTTCCTCTCCTCACCAGTGACCAGGACGAGTAGGTGAGATCCTGGCAGAGGAAGCCCAGGCCGCCCCTCAGCTCCATTGCTGACCGCTCCAGCCTTCTTCAGAACCACACCACACGCTGTTGCCCAGTACGCCCCCCTCCCCACCCCAACTCCAAAATAAAGGAACGCAAGGTGGACACGAGGCTGAATCTTAAATTATTATTATTTCTTCCTGTCGCTTACACCAGGGTAGGGGGCAGGGAAGGAACAGGAGGAGGGGGGAATGCCCCCCCTAAGGCACTGAGTGGAGAAGCCGCAGGGGGAGGGAGAGCACATTTGTCCTCAATCCTGGAGCTAGGCCCCAGGCCTCCCCAGCCCCGGGCTTCACTATCCCCTGAAATGCTAAGATGAGGCCCAGGGCAACCCGCGCCCCCCCTACCCCAACCAATATATTACATCATCATTTTTTAAATAGATACGGGGACTGGTCCCACTACCCCCTCCCTGTGACCCCCCCACTATTGGGGGTATCTGGGCAGCTGTGCAAATGGGCATGGGGGTGCAGGGAGGGCGAGCACCGGGCCCCTGAACCTCCAGTAGAGGAGGGGGAGGAGCCCCCAGGCCGGGAGGGTGAATAGTGCAAGGCGGAGCCCAGGCCGCTTGGGGCGGGGTTGGGGAGGGGGGGTCCAGCACCCAGCGAGGAAGGGGAGGGAGACACCCCCGCCCGCAGCAGAATCGGGTAGTTAAAAATCGGAAACTAGATTTCGACGAGACCAGAGGAGGCTATGTACAGAGCGGGAGCGGGGGCGGGGGGCTGGGGGGCCCGCGGGATCCGACCCGAGGCGGGGAGCGAGGGCGCGCGGGTGCGGCGCGGCCGCCAGGTGGCGCCAGGTGTCGCCGGCGCGCTCCCCGCCCGCCCCCCCCGCCCCCCGCGCGCGCCTGGGGGCGGCGTGAGTCAGGGGCGGCCGCGGCGGCGCGGCTCCGGCTCCGGCTCCGGCTCGCACCTGGGCGGGGAGGACGCCGGCCCGCCCTGCCCTCTGGCCCCGGGGAGGGAGCGGCGGGAACAAGACATTCCCTGCCCGGGGACTCGGGGACGGGAGGGGAGGAGAAGCCAGCCGGGCCGCGCGCTCCCCTGGGCGGGGCCCCGCTGCCCCCGGGGCCGGGCGGGCCAATCAGGCCAGCCCGCCCCCTCTGCCCCGGGACCCCATGACTCAGCGCCCCGGCAGGGCGGAGGGCGGCCCGCGGGGCCCGCCGCGCTCCCACCCGGCGGCCCCGCGGACGCCCCCCGTTTGCATAATTCACGGGCAGGAAAAGGGAACAGAAACCAGGGGGGAGGGTCTGGAGGGGAGGGGCGGCCTCGCCCCCTTCGCGGCCCCGAACCCCAGGGGGCGTGGGGGCGGGGCCGGGCTTTGGTCCCAAGCCGCTCCCAGCCCCTGGAAACCCGCATAGCCGAAGAACCCCACGAATCAGAAATACATTATTGCTTCTACCCCCAGCAGCAGCGGAGGACGGGGGCGGGGCGCCCACCTTAGACCCGGGCGGGCGGGAATATGGACCGAGTATCTGCTGTACTGCTCCCGGGGACGCCACCCTGCCCCGGGAACCAACCGAGCCCTAGCTCGCTCAAGACCTCCCTCGCCTGGAAGCTGCGCCCAGGAGGCCCGCGGACACCCGCTCCGGCCCCTGCCCTCCCCCCGCGTCCCGCGTGTGCCCCCACTGCTTGGCGTGCGGGCCCGGAGCCCGTGCTCCTCCGGCCTGGCCTGCGCCCCCTCTAAGAGGACTCCATGGCCCCTTCGGCCTGCGGCGTGGTGGGCGGCCCCTCCTCCTCCTCCTCGTCGGGGGGCCCGGGAGTGGAGATCGGGGGCCCGGCTGACTGCGCTGACTGCTCCCAGAGTCGCGCCAAAGAGAGGCGGAAGGTGTCCAGGTGGCCGTTGGAGAGGTCGAGGCCGGCGGGGGGCAGGGCGGCGGCGGCAGCGGGCGGCGGGTAGTGGGGCGGCGCATCGTCCTTGCGGCGCCTCCGCGTGCGCACTTCCAGGCAGTTCTGGCCTTTGAGGTGGCGCTGCAGGTGGTCCTCCTTGGCGAAAGCCTTGTGGCACAGGTGGCACTCGTAGGGCCGGTCGCCCGTGTGCAGGTGCATGTGGTTCTTGAGGTCGTAGCTGTGCAGGAAGCGGGCCGGGCAGTGCGGGCAGGAGTAGGGGCGCTCCCCGGTATGCTTCCGCATGTGGATCTTCAGCTTGTCGTTCCTGGCACAAGGGGGTGGGGGGCAGGGGGCGCGTTAGGGAAGGCACCCCCCCCCAGCCGGCCCCACTCCTGCCTCCCTCCCTCCCGCCTTCCCTGGGGCTGTTTTTCTAGTGGTTTGGGGGCCCCACCCAGAGGTGAGCAGGGGACCGACCAGCCACGGTGCCGGGACAGATGCAGGTTGGCTGCGCGCGGGGCAAGCCCCCACGGATGCCCGCCAGTCCCTTGGACTCACGCTGTCACGGCGCCCCGCGCCCCCTACTCACCGAGTGAACCTGACGCCGCAGACGTCGCAGGCGAAGGGCTTCTCGCCCGTGTGGGTCCTCATGTGGCGGGGCAGTTTGCCGGCCCCGTGGATGATCTTGTGGCACACGGGACACTCCTGGGGCATCTGCGAGCGCCGCTTGCGCACCAGCTTGTCTTGGCCGTCCAGGCCGGGCGCCAGGGCGTCCTGGTGCAGGGAGCTGAGGTAGGCCATCAGGTCGGGGTCGATGGCATCCTCGTCCGAACCCAGCTCCTCCGGGGACAGCGGGGGCCCGCCGCCCGGCGCCAGCCCATAGGCGCCAGGGTACACCAGCTCCTCCTCCTCCTCTTCGCCTTCGTAGGGCTCGTAGCTCAGGGGCCCCTCGGAGGGGGAGGCCGTCTCCATGGGGGGGCTGTAGCTGTCCCCCAGCCCGCTGCCCCCGCTGCTGCCCACTCGGCCGGCTCCCTCCTCCTCCTCGTAGGTCAAGGTGTGGGCGGGCACGGCGGGCACCTCGGGCACCAGGTGGTTGGCCCGGGCCCCCTTGGTCTGCAGGAAAGCTTTCCGGGGCTTGCGGCTGCGACGCGGGACAGACCGAGGGGGTGGCTGCGGGGGCGGCGGGAGCGGCGCCTGCGGGGGA